AGCTTCCTCTCTTCCCTCCAAGTTTCTGTGAAGGCAATGAGGCTCATATTAATGAGAGGCAATTATGGGCACCCGGATGAGCCTAAGTATAGCTCATTGAGAAAGGCAGCGCACAGCAGCCAGCTGCCTGCTCTGCAAGGCCATGGATGCCTATTTTAAAACTCCCTGTGGTGAAGCTCCTACCACTCCTGGATGCTGGACTGCTGAGGGACTGGCATGCAGCAAGCCTGAAACCCTGCCCAAGAGACTCACCGTGACCGACTCAAATCATCCTTACTTAAACCCCTGCTTAAGAGAGGGGGAAATGGAGGTCCAGAGAGGGGAAGAGGCCAGACTGAGGTCACAGCAAGTAAAAGAGGAGGCAGGATTTGAATCCAGCTCCGGTTGTATGCCAACGCGTTGTCATGCTGAGCAGCATCCTAGACCTCAAGGCATGGCCTGTCCCCAAGGTCACAGTGGAGGGAGGAGAGAAGGGCAGCCTGACATGACAACACAGCCAGTCCTCACCATAATCTGAGAAGTAAGAGGTCCATCCCTATACTGTGGAAGAGGAAACTAAAGCTTGGGGGGAAGGATTTTGTCAATGACAGTGCCTACCTCAAGGCAGAACACCTCGAAAACAAACCAGTGCTATGCTTAGGTCAGGGTCCCCAGGAGACTGACTTTTGGCCCAGTGGTGTGGGTGTGCATGCAGAGGTTTCCTAGGGAGTCTCTTGAGAAGGCCAGCAAGAGGCCAGTGCATACAGCCAAGCTGAAGGAGGGGCTGGATCTCAGGGCAGTTGTAGCAAAAGCCTAGGCTGATCCTCTGGGAGCTCTGAGTGAGAACCTAGTAAGAGTGTCTGGAGCTGAGACAGGGCACCACGCTAGGAACCCGCATATCAACCAGTCGTTAGATGCAGGCTGCCCCTGGGGACAGAGTGGAGCCCTGCAAGGATCTCATCTGGCCAAGAGAAGTTCCTGGTGGGAACTTGGCTGTGAACTGTCAGCAAGTGGTGCTGTTGGCAGCTGGGGCTGGAACAAGTCTGTGTAGAAGGACCCAGCAGCCACCATAGCACCTGTGGCTTGTTGATCCACAGGGCTCTTCATTCCTCTGCTGGGGTGGGGAGAACCCAGCCTGCCCTGTCATGAGAACTAACAGGCCTGGGTGCTGGGGAAAGAGGCTATCAGTGCTAATGTGACAAGAAGGAGGGAGCACATGGCCAGGCCTGGAGAGGAGAAAAGCAATCAAAAACCTACAGGAGCAGAATGCGAGAGAGTATTTGCAAGCCATATATCTGACAAGGGTTTAATATCCAGAATGCAACAAAAATGACAAACAGCTCAGTGATAAAGTAGTCAAAGGACTTCAATAGACATTTCTCCAAAGAAAATATTGGAACTGCCAAGAACCACAGAGACAAGATGCTCGATATCATTATTTATCAAGGAAATGCAAATCAAAAGCACTATGAGAAGCCAGGCATGGTAGGGCATGCCTGTGATCCCAGCACTCAGGAGACTGGGGGAGGATAGTGAGTTTGAGGCCAGACTGGCCTACATAATGAATTTCAGGCTAGCTGGGACTACAGGAAGACCCTGTCTCAAAAACAACTTAAAGTCTTAGGGGCTGGCAAAATGGCTCAGCAGATAAAGGCCTATGCCACCAAATCTAACAACCTGCATTGGATTCCCAGGACCTACTTGGTGAGAGAAGAGAACCAACTCCACAAATTGTCCTCTGACTTCCATATGCTGTGGTGCTCATGTCATCTCCCTCAATAAATAAATGTTAAAAAAAAAAAAAAAATGGGGCCAGGCATGGTGGCACACGCCTTGAATCCCAGCACTTGGGAAGCAGAGGCGGATCTCTGTGAGTTCAAGGCCAGCCTGGTCTACATAGTGAGTTCCAGGACAGCTGGGGCTCCAGGGAGACCCTGTCTCAAAAA